GCCGGCCCTTGTATTATCTTTTATAAAAGATACCATCTGGGTAACCGTGACCCTGGCACAAACATCCTAATGAGCCAACTTCTTGCAAGAGCAAGAATAGTTAACAGGAACCACAGACAAACATGCAGAGCCAGTGAGTGGCAAGAAGGCAGAGCAGATGCAGGCACTTAACTAGCACAAACCACAAGTCAGCTTGTGAGAGGAGAGTTTTAATGTAGCCTGCTCGCTACCCGTGTCTTCACCCATCAATTCTTAGGGCAATAACATAAGACACACCAGCCTGGGCTGGTAATTTAGTGGGAAGCTGAGGCTTCCTTTTGTCTACTGCTGCTTAGCAATGGGTCTCCTCACTGATACCAGCTCTGCAGGCATATCTGGGAGATGTGGAAAGTTTTGGTTGTTTCTGTGTTACATCAAATGATTCTCCCATTTACAGCTGAAGAGAAGCAGAGCTTTCTAAACTATGGAGATTTCCACTGTTGTTTGCTCAACTGCGATGCTTCCTTGGGGGTGGAGGACGGCTCTTGATGGTCTTGCACTTGGGAATGTGCCTCTCAGCCACCTTAGGAGCAAAGTGAAGGCTACAGTGAGGACACTGAAGATAGTCTGGATTTTCTGCAGGCGGGATGGGAGGCAAGTCTGAGTGGTGGCCTTCTTTGGCAATCACCTGCTGGACTTCTCGAGCCTGACGGAGGGTACGTATGAAAGATTCATGTTTCTGTCTCCAGTTGCTCTTCCGAGGAGGCTCAGCCTGTAAGTAGAAAGAAGACCGATCATTCAAGTTGGCATTTATCTCATCTCCTGAGTCCCCATTAGAATGACAGGAAGGAAATAAAAAGGGTGTTAATCCACACGGTCAAAAAGAACAGGCATGGAGCAACAGCGATGACTAACTTGCCAGAGTGGAGCTAACTTAAACTAAGAGCCTGCAAAGGGATATAAATACTGAGAGGCAAGCCATTTTCCCCAGCAGAGCCCTTGAGAGGCTCGGTGGAAGTACCAGGTAGTGGAAAGGGGGGAGGCACGGGGCTGAAAAACAAGTTGGACCCCAGGGTTCCTATCCCAGCTTGCACATCCAAGTGTCCAATACTTCTAGCACCCTCACAGGGGTTTATTCTCTAGAGAAATTGAACCAGACAGGTTTCAGGCTCAGGAAATCCAGGCACAGTGAAGAAAAGGGTTAACCTTGGGGCTGAAAATGCGCATGATAAATTGTGGGGCTGTCAGCCTCCTTCCCCCACTCACCTCCCAGAGTACCAAGCACACTGGCACCCTCTTAAGAGACATGGGTTCTATGGATGCATCGAGCAGGCAAGAGAAAAGCCATCAGATAACTGGCTCTGGGGATGTCTATTAAAAGGTTACCCTCTTTGATAACCCTAATATGAAGACCCTTAGTCAACAAGCCCTACCTAAGCTTAAATATGAATGAACAGCCAAGTATCATCAGATATTTGAGTAAAGCTCTAATGAAAGAGACCAAACCAAATAACAAGAACACACACACACACACACACATACACACACACACACACACACACACACACACACACACACACCACACACACAGGAAGCAGCAACAAGGCAGGCAGCAGAAGAAAACTCTTTTAGTGAAAAACCATATCAACAAACGAGTATTAGAGGAGATTGTGTCCATAAGACAAGAATATATAAAATATATATAATGAATATATGTAATGAATATATATATAATAACTATATATGAAAGGAACAGCCAAAGAACCGGAAAGAACTATTATAAATCAAAACTTTGATAGCTAAAAATAAAAATAGAAATGTAATACCAAGAAAATTACACAGAATGGGGAAAAAGGTCAAGATAGAAAACAGAAAAGCAAATATTAAAAAATTAGAGATGTGGCCGGGTGATTCAGCTGGTGAGAGCGCGTGCTCTTAACAACAAGGTTGCCAGTTTGATTCCCCCATGGGATGGTGGACTGCACCCCCCGAAACTAGATTGAAGGACAACAACTTGACTTGGAGCTGATTGGTACCTGGAAAAAAAACACTGTTACCCAATAAAAAGAAATTTAAAAATCGAGATACGATTCACATACCATAAAATTCACTCTTTAAAAAAATAAAATTAGATCCTTTCAGAGTTCATAAGTGTGATGATTGGGTGTTCACACTTGTGTGTGAGATGTGCCTCCCACAAACCTTGTTACAACATCGGCACATTAGCCATCTGATGTGAAAAAAGAAAAAAATAATAATTAAGAGTCAATCCAGGAAGTCCAACACCAACCAATAGGCTTTCCAAAAAGAAAACAGAAGGCAGGAGGAGGAAATTATTTAATAATACTATAAACATTCCTAGAGTTAAATGTAACTACTCTTGAGATTGAAATAGCCTACCAAGTATCCAACACAATCATTGTAAAATTTCAGGATTTCAGAATAAAGCAAGAATCCCGTAAGCTTTTAGAAAAAGAAAAAAGCAAAATGGTTTGATATAATGGAGAGCAGAAATCAAAACAGCATCAGATTTCTCAACAATAACATTGGATGTGAAAGCTAGCAGGAAAATGCCCCAAAGTTCTGACAGAAAATCATTTTCTACCAAGAATTCTGTTCCTGGCCAAATCATCAATCAAACATTAGGGTATTATATAGATATTTTCATTCATCCCAAAACAAAAAATATGCCTCCTGTGCATCTTTCTTAGTAAGCTTCTGCAAAGCAAGGAGTAAAGCAAGAAAAAGGAAGACACAAGATGCTGGAAACAGGAGACCCAACACATAGGAGAAGCAAAGCGAAGTCCCCAAGACAACAGGTCTGCACCAGGTCTAGAGAATAACCAGTCCAGACTGGAGCAGGAGGGAAAACAGTGGTCAGAGGGAGGCTTCCAGGATTTAAAAAATCAAACATGCATTATGAGAGGTGTTTGACCATTCACAAAAACTTTAACAGATCAGACAGATCATTTAGGAAAAAAAAGTTACAGAGAGAAGGTATGTAAGGAAACCAAATGAAAACATGAATCAGTTATTAACTCCAGGTGCATTTGGTCAGGAACAGAATTTGTTCACTCATCAGTGAACAAAATTTGTGGTTATTATAAAGTAAAAGCTGACCACTGGTTTAACCCAAAAGTGTGATTCCACTACAATGGAAGGCTAAGAGGAGAAAAGTAGGAGAAAGGATATGAAAAAGAGTTTAATCTGCAGCGTCTGTAAGAGGAACTCAGCAGATAATGTACAAAATTGATAAGAAAATAAGCATACTATTTAGAAATATGGAAATGCATACCAGAAGAGTCATCTATTAAACGAAAGACTGCCTCTGGGGGTTAGATTAGGACCAGGAGACAGATGAGGTAGGATACAGCTGCTCTGTATTATAGGTTGCTTAGTACTACATGATTTTAAAAATGTATTCAAATATTATTTAAAGTTAATTTTTAAAAAAAAAGAAGGCAAGTAGCTACTTGGTGATCTGACACCATTAATAATGACTAATAGAGATGTTATCAAAGGAAAAGGAAAGCTCCGTCAAGAGAGTCTTAGGAAACAGACAACAAGGCAAGAGAGTCTAAAGTGTTAGAGATGGAACCCAGGAACCTTTAAAAGAACTGAATTAGGGAAAAGTTCCTCAATTGTATGATACTTATACTTAAATTCTTCATCATATTGAAATTTTATTCAACTAACATAATCGCAACGCGCAAAGATGTGGCCTCTGTGTTCAAATGCTTAAGGTCCAGTAGAGAGAGAAGAGGTACTATACTGAAAGTTACGTCAATATTAAAGGACATAAGAAAACGGACCTGTTCTGAGTTCACTAGAGGAATGAGACAGACACAAACCACTTAGCTTCCAAAAGTACAGAGCTTTGGAATAAGACTGGGGACATTCCAAATTGGGGAGTGCGTCTCAATCCAGATCTTTTCCGCCTCGGTGTCTCAATGTAATATAGGCCCCCAAACTAGTTTCCACAAAGCAAAGGTATCTGATCTCAAAAAAAAACCACCTCTTTTGCTTCACTGATACTGTGTTTAGGAGTTTGAGAAAAACAAGATTCTTTTAGGTTCTGGCCAGAAATAAACCGCTTTACTGGGACAGAGAATACCCAGTGGATTACTGGGTTGACCAGAAAGAAAACAGGAAAGAACAGGAACTGGTGATCATATCATTATCTGCAAGAGCAAAACGTTGACTTCTCGTTGGAAATTGGATTTCAGGGAGAGTCTCTCTGAACCTGGAAGGGAATTTCTTGTGGTGACCTCCTAAACTGTACTGAAAGAAAGAATTCTAACTGTAAACAATGTCTCCTAGCAGCCATCACATAAATGTGAGTTTTTAAAGGTCCCAGCAAATGTGCACATCAACTGTAAAGAGCTAATGGACGAGAGGTGCTAGCGCAGCAGAGGGTTGGAAAGACATGAAAACAGAATGATGCTAGAATATTAGAGCTGGATGGGGCTTTGTGGTCACGTGGTCTAGGCTTTCCCAAACTTGGATCACCTGCATACCACTTTCCTGCTATCCACCTTACTATTAATTCCTTGATATTTTTCTTTAAATTCATGATTCCTAGAAATCAAGGGCTTAACATGTTGTTATATTTTTCTAATATACACGAAAACTACTAAAATAAAAAATGTTTGTCAGCATGCCACACTTTGAGAAACACTCAGTTACAAACCAAGCGGCATAGCCTTGATAGGGTGGTGGACTTAGTCACAAGACAATCTTCTCCAGATCTGATGGTCCAAAGATGCTGATGAAGTTCCCCTACACTTATCATGGAAGTATTTCAAAGTCCTTACTTTTCACAACCTACTTTTTCTGCAGCTAGGAATGTTAGCCAAAAATAAAATCCTTTGCCTTTAAGGTGTTTACACCCCAAATGGAGAGAATCCCAAACTTAATTGTGTTACATGTATTTACTTCAAAGGTATGTCAAAATTGAGCTAACTTTGAAAAAGAAGACTACAGTTATAGGAGTGGTAGTAGATCCTAATCTTGGGAAGTGGCATGAAACAAAGAGCAAGGAATTCTCTCAAGATAGTGAAATGCTGAATAGTTTTTTTTATTTATATTTTTTATGTCTTTTAAATTTTCTATAGCAAATGTTTATTACTTTTATCATCAAAAGAATATATATATATATTTTTTTTAAACAACAGCAATTCATTGTTTCACAGTTCTTGAGGCTGAAATTCTGAGCTCGAGGTGTTGGCAAGGGTAATTCTTTCTGAGGGCTGTGAGGTAGAATATGTTACATGCCTTTCTCCTAGTTTCCGGTGGTTTGTGGCAATCTTTGGCTTTTTTTTTTTTTTTTTTAGCTGAGCTATCCTGCCACCTGTTAGCAGCTCAGTGGCTGCTCAGCTCGGTCCGAGAATCAAACCGCTGTTGGTCAGAGCTCAAACTCTTGAGCAAGCTCTTAACCAACTGGGCCACTCGGCCAGCCCCTCTTTGGCATTTTTTTTAACTTGTAAATATATCACCCCAATTTCTGCCCTCACATTCACATAGCATTTTCCTTGTATATAAATCTATGTCCAAATTTCCTCTTTTTTTTAAGGACACCAGTCATATTGGATTAGGGGCCTACTCTACTCTAGTATAACCTCATCTTAACTAATTATATCTGCAACAACCAAATAAGGTTACATTCTGAGGTACTAGGTATTAGGACTTCAACATATGAATTTTGGGGGTGGGGTGGAGGAGGGGACATAATTCAAGCCATTAAGAGTTGATAGGAGGGCCGGCCGAGTGGCTCAGTTGGTTAAGAGCTCGCTCAAGAGTTTGAGCTCTGAGCAACAGCGGTTCGAGTCCAGCCCGAGCTGAGCAGCCGCTGNCTCTGAGCAACAGCGGTTCGAGTCCAGCCCGAGCTGAGCAGCCGCTGAGCTGCCAACAGGTAGCAGGATGGCTCAGCTAAGAAAAAAAAAAAAGAGTTGATAGGATATATATATATCTATATCTATCTATCTCTATATAAATATATATATATATATATATAAAATATAAATATATATATATATATTTTTTTTTAATGAATGAATAGATTTTATTCAGGTCTCTCATTCCAATGGTCTCCATGGCACTTAAGGTAAAATTCAAATTCTTTTCCACCAGTGAAGGGGCATCATTAGGCTCCTGCCAGCATTTTTCTCACTAAATTCCAGTGATCCTGACCCCATCTATGGCCCTCAAGCACACCAATCTTGGCTTGGCTTGCTCTCAGAAAATTCTTCCTCTAGCTGTCACATGGCACCTTTTGCAACCTCTCAAGTGATAAAGTTAATTTGTATATTGGTACCTACAAAATGGAGGTCGCCCCAGTGGCCCAGCCCACACTGCAAATCCAAGCCTAAATCAGCATGCACTTATAGGAAACACCTCACTCTCAGAAAACCAAACAACAATTACAACTCAGCTTTTGCGAGCTTACCTTATCCCTAGAGAATGGGACCTGCTAGCCTTAGCAGGAAATCCTCAGCCTCCTTCCAATCCTACCTGGTTTCCGGGTTGCCTCTTCTAATGTTCTATAAACTCCATCATGCCCCAAATCCCTCGGGAACAGGGCTTCACTGCTTGTGAGGCAAGGATATATATTTTTTTAAGTCTAGGTTTTGGAGTCATTCCAAACCAGATTTATATGCTGACTCTGCTTATTTAAAGCTGTTTGTGATCTCAAGCAAGTTAACCTGAGACTTGAGCTTTGAATTGATAAGAGATCATGAAATCCTCACATGGTTGTGGTGAAGGTCATATGAAAAGCAATGGGCACAGTGACTGGCACACAGTTGGAATCAATAAATGTTAACTCTCACTTTCTCCCTACATGACACTTAAAATGTTTTCTTTAAAAAACCTGACGAGTATATATATAACAGGCCCTTACAATGATCCCCACTCAAAGTCAAATCCATAAGGCCCTGTTACCTTAACTGAGGCTGGTCCCTTCCAGTTCAAGTACTGTTCTAGCTCTGTGCCCTTGGCCCGGGCCCTGGAGGAGTCAAACACTTTCCTCTTGGAGCCCTGCATCCTGCTGCAGACGTTGGAGTGTCTCTCCAGCCTGAGCAAGAGAAACTTGCGTCCACAGTGGCTGCACTTGCCAAGTTCCGGCTCTTGAGTGGAACAGCTGGAACCTGAGGAGTCTGGTGCCTTAGACAAACTAGAATGGCTTGTGGATCCTGGCAAAGCACTGCCTGGCGCTTCTGAAGGCTGAGACAAGTTCTTCAACGGCCCCGAGACACGGTCTCGGATTTTGTTATTGCTTGCCATTAGTCTTTCCCTTTTGAGCTTCTGTATCCCATGATCAGAGAACTGGAATGGACTAGAATTTTCTGGAGAGCGTCCCCAAGTTTCATCCTCTCCCCTGTCTCTATTGAAGACCTCCTTAGACCTGTATTCTGGGGAGAAGATAGGTTTGTACGCAGCGTTGCTATGATCTTTACCTCTCCTCCTGGAAAACGTCATTCTCTGTTGCTCTTTTTTTTCATCTTCCTCAGCCTGTTCCTTTTCCTTCTGGATCCTTCGGAGCTCCTCCTCTGTCTTCTTGAGCTTTTCCCTTAGGAGGGTCTCTTTTCTTCGGATTTCCTCCTCTAAACTCTCCCCTGCAGCTTCTAGTCTTTGGATCTGCGTCCACTCAGTCCTGTGGCAGTTTGCCATGGCCCTCTCCTCCTGCGTGGCAGTGACAGTACCAACCACAGATGAATTCGCCCAGTTCCTGGAGCCAAAGCTGCTGTATGAAAACTCTCTTGGTTCAGGGGGTCTCGGAGAGACATTCTGGTCCCCCTCCATGCCAGAGCTCCGTGTACTACGAGACTTCCGATGAAATATGGGTTTCAGTGGGTAGGCCCGGTCCACTCCAATTCGTTTCTTTGTAAATGGGATGAATTCCTGGTTATTTGCTTTTTGAGACTGGGATTGAGAGCCTGATAAGTAAAACCAACCCTTTGCTTGGCCCCAGAGATTGCTTCTTGGATTTTGCTGGCTGATTCCAGCACAGTGGGGATAGCAGTAGCTCTGGGCGTTTGTGCAGGCATTCCATTTGGAGGGAGTGTACAGATTATCCAGCGCCAGCTCATTGTTGCTCAAAAGCTTCTGCTGGGAATTGTACCTCAGGTGCCCCATCGAGGACCGCTGGGAAGAGTCCCCTTTTACATAGGGGTCTTGCTTAGCTGAATGGAGCCCTGGGGCATCTGTTTTATTATATGGGAGCATAATGCCCACAGGCAGAAGTGGAGCCAACTGGAGACCAGCCATTCAGGGCCTGGACTGAAGCCTGGGAGAGATTTAAACCAGATATATGTGAGAAGTTTGTCTGAGGTTCACCCCGGTTGCTTAAATCAACTGTTTCTACATTTGTCCTACCCACATTTTCCTTTAAACTTTTTAGGGACAGTGTTTCTGGGGCTGCCAGAGCTCTCATTCAATAAGCATTCGGTGAGTGCTGATTATGTCCTGGCAGTGCTTATTATTAGGTCCTCAAACGAATGTGATACTGGTGTTCCGGCCACCTACCTTTCCTTTATACCAGTACCAGCCTCTGCCATACAGTGATGCGCTTGCCACACACGGTGTACTCCATAGCCAGTGGGAACAGCTACTGGAAAGAGCTATTGGATTGGAAGTAAGGTTTTAGGCTTGTGACACAAGACAAGCAACTTCCCCTTCTGGCTCCAGTTTCTTCACCGGTAAACTTAGTGGTTCCCTCAGAGTCACATGACTGGAACTTAGGGACCTTAGGACTCCAAGTCCAGCCCCATCATTTTACAGGTGAGAAAACTGCGGCCTACAGGTAAGTGTCAAGGCTTCCCTCCTGCTGGAACCGTGCTTGACTCCAAGGAGCACAAAGGCTGCCCAGGGCCTGCAGCAAGTGCCTGGTAATCAAGCCGTCACCCAACGAGTCCCCGCGGCTCAGAAGGCCAGAGGTTTGTAACCTGAGAAGCGGGGGCCACCAGACTTGGCCGCGGTGGGGTTTAAATCCAGAACGCGGAAGTCACGTTCTGTCCTGGAGGGTCAGGCGGGGCGCCCCACTGGAGACTCTGCTTTGGGGACAAGCCCTCGCTTTTCTGTCTATCGGGCTTTTGGGAGGTCGAGGTGTTGGCCCCATGTCTCCCCGCCCTTCCGCGTACCTGAGGCTCTCCAGGACAATTCCCGCTCACCGGCAACCCCAAGACTTAGGTTGCTGGCCCAAACCCCAACCAACCGACCGCCGCGCAGGCGCTCTCAGCTGGCCCCTGTTATTCCCGTTGCCTGGAAACGGGGTCGCGTGCGCGGCCAGCCCCGCCTTTCGCCTCAATCACCGCCCGGGAAGCACGCACAGGCGCAGTCCCGCAAGAACTAGGGAGCCGCCCTGGAGGGAGGTGAGGTCCGCGTGAGTGTCACTTGACCCGGTGTCTCGCCAACTTTGCAGCTTCGTCCAGCCCTTCCCTTGGAGAACGGGGAGGGGACGGGAGAGGTTTTTCTGGGGCTCCATAAAAAAACTTATGTTTTTCTGAGATCGATGACCCCAGACCCTGTGGTGTGCCCTTCTCTGGCAAAAGACGGAGTCCCTAGATGTGCCCTGGAGTCACTCCGCCGCAGGATTCCGATGTCCGCCCACTTAGCGGTAGTGAGCCTGCTGATAGCCTTTCTTAGCATGCTCGGCTGCTTTGTACGCGCCCCAGGTATGGCTGTATACTATCTTTCCGTGCTTTCCCTCATCAATAGTTTGGAGCTTGTGGTCAAATTTTAGCAACTTGGCCGGGTTTTGCTACGCAGTATCTTTCTGAGATAGTTTTGTAGCCAGTGTCATTATTTTGATACAGTGTTTTACTCTCACGTGGTAACCCTGGCCGTCTCTTCATAGAGCCCAAGAATGACTCAACCAAATGTAATGATAATAAAGTTAACTACCAGATCGAAAATAATCAGTATAACCTGGCTTCAATAGTAATTGATACTCTATGACTTGTTAACATCGGAAGAGTTTATTTGCCTTCATGCTTCAGTTCATTTGTGTAAGCTGTTTGGAACAGGCAACTGACTTTTTCCCTATAACTACTTAAAAGATTTATGCACATGGAAAATAATATAGATAGCAGTAGTCGGTGTTCATACTTTAACATATCATTACAGTTTTTACATATTACAAAGTAATTCCTTGGTGGGCCCTCCAGTGCTTTTTTCCCCCCTTGTTTTCTTTCCTAGTTGACTATTGCTTTCTCTATAGAACTCGTTCGTATGTGCAGTTCCAGACATTTCCCACTCTTCTCAAGTTTCCAGTTATCTCAGTGATCCTGCCTGCCTGTCAACTTCCACAGCTCCCCTCCAGTCTAGCCGAATTTCCTCGAGTGCCTACTTCCATCTTGACTTCCTTCTTGTTTTTGAGGAAAAAGAATCTTTCTCTTTCCATGAGCTCTCTTGTGAATTAGCCCCTTTCAGTATCCTCTAGGAATGGACTCTGATCACTTTACCCCTTCATCTTGCTAACTTCAAGTTGTACCAATCTATATATACTTTGGTTTTAAAATATGCTTAACTTCTGCAAAACAAACCTCATTTCCCTTGACCTGTGGCCTCTTACCCTAGGATCCCATTCATTTCTCCTCTGCTCCACAAGACGTCTTGGTAGAAAACCTTACATTTGCTGCCCCCACTTCCTCATCTCCTTCTTATTGTTCAGTCCATTGTCTTGTGGCATCTACCTTTACCACTTGATTTAACTGCTAGCCTACCAGTGACTTTCCAATGGCCAAAGACAAAAGCTGCTACTTCTTCAGCCTACTCGTTTGACATTACTGATTTTTCACTTCCTTGGAACTCTCTTCTCACTTGATCCTGTGCCTTCTTGGCTGCTGCTTTCATATTCTCTTGCTCCATCTTCTACAGGGCTATGTCTTTTCCTCACCTGTCCCCAAATCTAGGTGTTCTCCAGAACCCTCTTATTTCTCATGTATGTGCAGTTCCAGACATTCTCTTCCTAATGGTTCCAACCAAAATGCTGAAATTTCAGGTCTCACCTATGTTTAAATGGCATCTGGTTTAGCGCTCTCTCCTTAGTTACAGACTCAAATTTCCAACTGCTCACTTAGTTCCTCAGGAACCTCAGACTTAAGATAATAGAAAACAAACTCATGATCACCTCCCCGTTTCCCCCAATCCACTTCTTCAGTGTTCCCTCTCATGCTGAAAACTATCAGTCACCTTCTACTCCTCCCTCTTTGTCACCCTTCCCTCTAATTGGTCAGCAGGCTCTGAATTTTTCCGCAGTGTCTCTTATACATGATGGTTGCTTTCCATTTCTACTGCCCTAGGTGAGTTCTTGCTCACTGCCTATTGGGACAGCATGCATCACTCTCCTAACTGCTATTCTTGCTTTCAACATCTGCTCCCCAAACCCATCCTTTATGCTGCTGCCAGAATAATTACCTACATATGTCTGATCCTATTATTCTCTTACCCAATGGCTTCTACTTTACCTGTAGAATAAAATTTAAATGTGTAATTTGACGTGGTATTTCAACCTGCCAGATTCGGTCCAGCCTACCTTACCAGCCCCAGCTCCCCAGAGTCTAGCCCCATGAATCTCAACCCTGGCTGTGCATGCTTTAGCACTAACTGGAAGGCAATTTCTGGGGGGTAACACCAGAATATCAACTTTTTTTTTTTAACCATTGTGAGCAACACTGTGGTGATCATTTGTGCAATGTCTATTTTTGTGACGGGTAGTGGCATTTTTAAAAGCTTCCCCCTAGGTCCTAATGTGCAACCAGGGCTGAGAGCCCCTGATCTAGCCACACCTGACTACTTGCACTTTCTTACCTCAGTGGTACTACCTTACAAGCACCACATACTGGGAGGTGATAGAGCATAGAATTTATGGGAGTGGGCTCTGTACTCAGACTGCCTGGAACTAAATCCCAGCTCCATCACTTACTGGTTGTGGTTGTGTAACCTGGACAATGTGCTATTTCCTCCAAGAATGTTTTCCCAGTCTTCCCAGTCAAAATTAATCTCTTTGCTCCTTTGTGCTCTCATGGTATTTTCTGTTCTTGTTACAGCACAGGCCTGGCTCACGATGAGCTCTCAATGGATGTTCATGGAACTGAATTAGTTGTACATTATACTGTCATTATTTACATGCAGGTTTGTTTCTTACGCTAAATAAAAAACTCTTTGAGGACAAAGATTATATATCCTTCATCTGTATATACCCTACAGTGTCCCATACATAGTAGACACTCGATAGGTTTTTAATTCTCTTGAGAAACTAGTTTTTTTAAATGAATTTTAGAGAAATAACAACAGCCAGGTATACTTTGCTTAGCATTATTTTTAAATATTGCCAAGCATAACATCCATTCCAGCTTCCCACTTCAAGCCCCACTCCTGTGCCAGCACTAAGGTTGTATTCTCCAGGATCCAGAGCCTCACTTTGTAGTGGGGAGTTAGTGGAATGATTAATCTCCATGGCTTCCACTGCAAATCCATCTCACTTTGCCAAGTCTGCCAACGTGGCCATATTCACATATGGAGTCTTATGTTATGAAAGGATGTACTATATACAAGCAATCTAAAGAAAACAGTAAACACAGTTTTCCTGCATACACATTCTTAATCACAAAAATAGCTAGATCCAAATGCCTACAAGGTAACCCTACTTTTAACAATCATCCAATCATCATGCACAACTCCCCTTGACAATTCCCTTTGCCCAAAAGAAATTCATGCAATTTGGTCATTTGGCTTAAATTGACTAATTCAATTGTGATTCTGGAGCCATGGGTTATTTTGCTTGTGATTGGGACTGATTCATTTAGATAAGCGTTATTTGGAGTTTTCTTAATGAGATAGACTCTGGTGGCAGCTTCCAGAAGCACAGAAAGAGAAATAACCACCACTAGGATCTCTTACACACTCATCTCTGCTGCTTCTATTCCAGACTTAAGCATGACTTAAAATCTGAGAACTGAAAAAGTCACTGCAGAAAGGTTGCATGTGTGCTATTCAATTTATTTGTTTATGATGTTTAATGTTTATCACCTGTCTACCATCCCCAGAATTTAAGCTCCTCTGGGTCAGGAATCCTTTTTGTTCACAAATGTATGTCAACTACCTAGAACTGCGCCTGACACAAAGAAGGCTCTCAGTATTTATTGAATGGTTGGATTTATCTCAAGTGCTTCATCGTCCATGTCTTTCTTCCCCATGAGAAAAAATGAGGAAACAGGTGCTCTCAGTGACTGAGAAAGGGTGAGGGCTCAGTCTGCAGAATCGGAGCTGAGGCCCTGGACAGATCCCCAACCTGAGGCTCCCTAAAGGTTTCAGGCGACGGTCTTGAAATCCCACCCTCTGGGCGGGCTCTGGGCAGAGTGTGCCGTCTCTGATTGGTCAGCAGACGTGATGGGCATGCGAAACAGCGAAGGAAGAACCGCGCCCTGAGCTTCCGGGAGCGGCGGTTGCAAGACTAGGAGAACCGTTGCGTTGGTGGTTGCCGGTGTTGTGCCTGGAAGGTGAGCCTAGGACGGGGCCCGGGGTGTGCCCATCATTTCGATTGGCCCTAAAATGTTACTAGACGAGGATTCTGGCGGTTGTGTGGAAGCCAAGTCCGTGAAAAGAGGAAGGGATGGAGAAGCAGCGGGACCGGTGTGGGAGGTATTTGGATAAACAGGTAATTGTCCCCAAAAGAGGCCTCTGTGGGCAGTTGCGACCCGAAGCTCACTTGCCCAGGTGTCTTCCTGTTACTTCACACACCTTCGCTTACACGTATCCACTGGTGTATTCTGGAGTTTGGGGACCTTAAGTCAGGGAGAGGTTGCAGTGACTAAGGATGGAGAAGTGTGGATGTGGCCCTTTCTGCCTCAGAAGTGGGGGTCTTGGCATAGGATAATGAGTCCTGTTTACTTTTCTGCTTTCCTGGTTTCTGACAGGTTTGAGCATGAGTATGGCAGAAGGGGACACCCTGATATCGGTGGATTATGAAATTTTTGGGAAGGTGCAAGGGGTATTTTTCCGCAAGTATACTCAGGTATGTAGCCTAAAGACTTTGGGGACACGCCTAAGTTATTTCCTGACAAATGTGCATTGGGAGAAGCTGGCTATTTGGCAGCTGCATGGCAAAGAGGTGGTTTGTAGAGCAGTGGGTATGAAAATGCTTTGCAATGGGTAAAATACAAAGTAAATGACAGATTCATCTGCTGTTATTTTTGGTTTCTT